GTTGGGAGGGCATATGTCCTGTCCTATTTACTCTTGTATTTATCATATCCTATCATAGAACTTTCATAAATAACTATACATACACATGCATGTACACACATGTAGAATATTTATCTGCTTTCAACTGAGAAGTTCTTCCTTTTCTGAATTGGACTGTATTTTCTACCCACTGATGAAATATGTTTGGATGATATTATTAACTTGTATAGACAGATATTTGCCAATAATAAAAAATTGTTCTTTAGTAGTGATATGTGTCTAATTGTATCTCAATATCTGTTAATTTTGTTTTGTCACAAAACAAAAGTGAGGGCATGGTAAGAAATGTTTCAAATGCAATTAAGTTTTCTTTTTAAGTTTATGATCCATGAGATTAAGTTACAGCTTTATTATTTATAACTAGATATTAATACTGTTTCTCGAAATCATAACTTGATATGAATACTGTTTCTCAAAACCATAACGTTTTTAAAGTCACACAATAGTTACATTCTAAAACATTATGAACAATTTAAAACATCCTTTGAGATGGTCAGCTATAAAAATAGTTGAAACAACTCCGACAATAAAAATGTTCTTCACGTTGACATTCACAGGCAGTAACTACATAAAAATTCCCAGTTTTTCTTTACCTCTTCATTAGTTCAGAAAACTTTGTCCAAACATGGCTTATTGATCATTTTGAGTTGCAATAACATCAGGGATAAATTATTTTCTATAAATTTAACTTTCTGTAAATATATACTTGCCAAAGATGGTCAGAGGAGTTTTAGGAATAACAAATTTTGTTTCAATATTTTTTCTACATTTTTATCAGTGTAAAAATATTGAACAAAAGCTTGTTTGTATGTTTCTATAAATATCCACTATAATTTTTTGAAATTTCTATTTTTGTATAATGTTATAATGTTTTGTATAATGTTACAATGATTGTACTAGGATATTCTTAATTTAATAACTTGAGGCAGTTGGGTTTAAGAGCAACTGCAATGATGACTGATTTTCTTTCATTCAGTCACATTTCTGCAATGTCAACAAGGTATTTCTGCAGAGAAAACATAACATGTGGCCAGGCCATGCATTTCAGCTTTGACCTCAGAAGAAAAACATAGCACATTGACTTTTCACATGACTAACACACAATAAAATAGGATTGAATTACAAGAATTTAAATAGGCCAGGAGCAGTGGCTCATGCCTGTAATCCCAGCACTTTGGGAGGTGAAGATGGGCGGATTGCTTGAGTCCAGGAGTTTTAGACAAGCCCAGGCAACATGGCAAAACCCCATCTCTACAAAAAATACAAAAATTAGCTGGGTGGCATGTGGCTGTAGTCCCAGCTACTTGGGAGGCTGAGGTGGGAAGATCACCTGAGTCCAGCGAGCTGTAGGCTGCAGTGAACCATGATCGTGCCACTGCACTCCAGACTTAGTAACAGAGTAAGATCTCATCTCAAAAGAATTAAAAAAAAGAAAAAAAAGAAATCTGAACAAACTCTGTTCTTTAAACATAATACCTTTGCCTCACATGTGAATTGTGGGTGACATAGGAATATGATTTCTCAAATACATAGTCTGTGGGTAAACTGAGAAGGAAGTAGTGGATTCTCTGGGTGTTTTATTTATAAGCCATTTATAGGCCTGGGACAAGTTACTTACTGCCTTCGGTTTCTCTTGAATTAAATGGGGATAATGAGGCTGCTGTGAGAATATAGTGAGTTAAACATGTAAAATGTTTATAAAACATTTAGATTTTAATGTTAGCTATTGTATTATCATTTTTACTCTCTATCTTCATTCAACTCCCACTGGAACTTCTATTTTCTATTTTGGGAGATGGTATAATTCATTCAAATATAATTACACAGAAGGATTTTTTCTGATCTATTGTTTTTGATAATATTTAAAATTAATACAAATGACCTCATCCACACATGGTTTCATGGACTAGCTTTTTATGTTATTTGGCTCAGTTCACGAACATATGCTAACTACTTGATGTAAAGTGAGCCACAAGTTGATCAGAACCTTGGAAACTGGAATGCTCAATTACACTTTATATTTTATTTTATTTTATATATTTATTTATGTATTTATTTTTTGAGACAGAGTCTCCCTCTGTCGCCCAGGCTGGAGTGCAGTGATATGATCTCTGTTCACTGCAACCTCCGCCTCCCAGATTCAAGCGATTATCCTATTTCAGCATCCCGAGTAGCTGAGGTTACAGGCATGTGCCACCATGCCCAGCTATCAATTATACTTTAAATTTGCTCACAATCTGACATCAATTAAAGTTTCTTTACATGTGAGAAGGAAACGCTAGCTTGTTGCTTTGTCTCTGTGACCAGCACACAGACAGTAAGAAGAAAAGCACAACATCTAGAAAGATAAACAACCATAAAATCTATAAAAGCGGTTTTATTTAGCAACATTTGATAAGGCATTTGGTGGGAAGAGAGATGTATTTGATTTTCAGCCCTGGATATATTTCTTCTGGGGGATGGAGGAGGGTGAGAGGTGGTTATGTAACTTAAGGAGTTATTATATAATCAATACTTTGTACAAGGGAGTTTTCATAAATCTGTTTTCCTTGGTGTAGTCAACAACAAAAATCCTCCACATCACTGCCTTAAGGAGGGTAGAAAAGTATTTTCCAGCCTTATTCACATTTTCAAAGTAACTATTATGCATGGTTAAAATCAATGGCTTCAATATCTGTTATTGTTATTTTAAAGGAACTTTGTATTTTTCTCATTTTGACTACTGAATAGGTACTCCACATGTGGCTCACCTTCCTCCCTTTATTATCCAAGACTCCTTTGCAAACACAATAGCCTCAGGTATTTCTGGGCCTCATGGGGTTCAATATGATGAAAATCGTATGGACTCTGTCACCAAATCTCTTAGCTCTCTAAAATTCATCAGAATTAGATATTCCATACTGTGGTGGTCTGACTGTTAAGCAATGTCCTCTCTAGCTATAACAAGTCTTTGAGTAATAATGCTGATGATCTCATGGTTAGTGCCCAGGCTCTGGATTTAAACTGCCTTATCTTTCAAATTCCTTCTTTGCTATTTACCAACTGTGTGACTTCTGGCGAGTTATCTGACCTTTTCTGAGCTCACTTACCTGGTCTGTAAAATGGAGATAAGTATAACATCTCCAGAGGGGTGTAGAAAGGAGTAAGGGACTGAAGAAAAAAGGCTAGATGAACGTACACAGCTAATAAAAGAGTGTCTGGTGCATTTTAAATGTGAGCATTACTTATAAACCTAACCAAAGCTTTGTATTTCCCTGCATTCTCAGCTTTCTGCTCCTACTTTTACATTTGACTGTGCTGTGTTAAATCAAGGAATGTAGTCTAAAGTACTAAAATATAACATAGTGTAATAGGGCGGAATAAATGTCACGGTATAAATAAATTTCAAATTTGCATGAAAACACAGTGGTAAGTTAAAAAATCAAGGGCAGGAAATATGTAGAAAGGAAGAGGGCAACAGAAAAAAATTATCTGATACCTGATAATGTGATCTAAACTGCCCTTGTCATGCGGTGTTTGAGGCAATCCATTAGACTGGTTCATCAAAGTATCACTGAAAACCAATTCAATGTATGCATGTATGTGAATTCTCTTTATCATAAATAAGACCTTGATAAATAAGGACATAAATTCAGTTTGATCATGTAACCATTATGCAAGCAACCCTATCTCTCATTAAAGGCACAAGCTCCCAGTTAGTAGAACTGTATTTTATATTACTCTCTAAGACTCATAAAGTGAATAGGCTGTTAACTATATCTATTTTTTCAGGATTAATCTCTTATAGCTATAACACTTAGACTATTTTTCACCAACTTAGTATTTAAATTGAACTTACATCTACATAAAAGTGTTTTTTTTTTTCCTACTTCCATTTAGTAAACTGTACTTCTGTATGGGTAATGTGGTAATTTACATATTTTATAAAATTTAGTAATTTTTTTTCTGAAAGAAAATAAAGCATGTTTTATCAAATTCTGAACTTTAATGTTGCATGGCATATCATATGCTTGATGAAAATACATGGTTTTACAACAGTAGAATCTGGCAAATTCCATGAGTTTCATGAAATTAGAATATTGTGACTGGACATCCCTTTGGAAATTTGTTAAAACATAAAGGCACTCCACTTTTAATGGGCAGATTTTTTTTTCTTGAGTGTTTTCTTTTTTCTTGACACTATTTTTTGTTTCCTTTTTATTTTTATTTATGTATTATTATTTTTTTGAGAGAATCTCACTCTGTTGCCCAGGCTGGAGTGCAGTGATGCAATCTCGGTTCACTGCAGCCTCTGCCTCCTAGGTCCTCCCAAGTAGCTGGGACTGCAGATGCGCACCACCAAGCCTGGCTGATTCTTGTATTTATAATAGAAATTGGATTTCACCATGTTGGCCAGGGTGGTCTCAAACTCCTGACCTCAGGTAATCTGCCTGCCTTGGCATCCCAAAGTGCTAGGATTACAGGCATGAGCCACCACGCCCGGTCTTTAGTTTTCCTTTTTTTAAAAAAACCTTTTGCTGGTTGGAGGTGAGGACCAAATCCAGGCCACTCTTTTGTAGCAGCCCATAATTTAAACTCTTCTTCTTCTCCAAAACTCTCCTCTTTTGCCCATTTCCAGCCTCTGAGGGATTACCCTACCCTGAAAACAACCTTTTTAAAGTTTGAAACCCATTATTGAAATCCAGATCTTCTTTTTAAAGTCAAATAAAGTAAAGGCCAGAAGGAATGTGAACATTTTGTGAAGCAACATAGTGATTTAGTAGCTGTGACTATAATTTAGGTTTCCTGTTTTGAGTTTTATAGTATATCCTCCTTTACTTTAAGTAACTGACTATGAGTTACTATCTGCTTAAAGTATTTCTAAAGTTTTAAATGCTTGTATTTTCTTCGTATATATGTGTTAGATGTAATGCACTGAACTACAAATGGAATTAATTCCAAGAAGGCTGCTTTACACTTACTCTTGTGTTGTTTCTTTCAGCTTTGAGTTCAGAGATTTCTTCTTCCTTTTCTAGAAGTTGTTCCCTGCAGGCATTTAATTCTTTTGTCAGTGCAGCAAATTCCTGGAAGAGTAATAAAAATATTTGGAGAAATATTCAAGATCTACAAGCAGACAAAATTCAAAATATAAATTTCAAAATGAAAAGAATGGGGAAATATGACCCCATTGACTGGTCAACATATATTGCTGTTATGAAGTATCTTAAATTCATTATTCGAAACATGCTAATCCATAATACGTATCATATGCATTTTATTACAATAGTGTATAAAGTATATTTCAAAATATATCAGATACATCACACTGAACCTACGTTAATATGATAACTTATTCCTAGAGTCAATTTAAGTTTAGCTAACAGCTCCCAAAATCTTACACTTTAATTCTTATACAGCAATGTTTATACAGAGTACAGTGGATCTTCAGAACAACTACACAAAACCCTGCTAAATGTGCTACTTTGAGATTAAGAAATTTATTTTGTTAACAAGATGAAGCAGGGTAATCTACTTTTTTTTTTTTTTTTTTGCAAAATAATAACTATGCCTAAGATTTGATAACATGATCTAAGATTTTATAACATGATCTAAGATTTTCTTATTAATTTGCATATTGCTCAGTCTTTCTAAAAGATAAGCTCCATGTGGACACGGGCTTTGACCTGTCCACTGTTACACCACCAGTGCCTAAGACACAGTGGGAGCTCAAATGATATTTATTTTTAGTTCATAGAAATAGGTCATATTGTTACCAAAAAATTGGGGGCTCTGGAGTAATTCTGTCTTCATGTGGTTAATGACACTGTGAAGGAATCTTCATTGGCCTCCTTCCCCTAAATGGGATCAGAGATCATATGATATGGTATTTTTACCAATAGGTGGAGAGTTTGTTTACACACAGAAAAAGGTTATTTAATAAGAAGACCAAGAAATTCAACTATTCTGGTATTCTACCTTATAAGCAAATATTTAATTTAAAAAAAGTAAACAGATCCATATTATCACCAAACCTGTCAGAGTGATTTTCAGTAGTAAAATTGATGCTTATCAAATATTTAAGTTTTGGGGAAAACTTAGCTCTAGGCTGAGAAGGCACTCAGAAGATTAAAAAAAAAAAAAAAAAAAAAATGAAGGAGACAGGTTTGGTTAATGTAACCTCCAGGGAGGCAAATTTAGTAAAAAGAAAATGAAAATGAAATGATGATTATGAAAAGCTGGGGAAGGTTTGGAGTTTATATTTTTGTTTGCTTCAAACCATTTATTTTGCTTAGTTTCTCGAAATGGCTTCAACCCAAGTGAGTACTTCAAAGATCTCAGAGTAGGTTTTCGGGCTTAGATTCTAGATGACAGAGTTTATTGTTGCATTTTGGCTGAAATAGGGATAAATGTTTTCTCCCCTGATTGCTGCTTAAATGCTGCTAATACTCTGAGCATATTATTTATGTGGTAAATGGAAATAAAACAAATAGAAAACAATAAACCTTTCTCTAGAAAATAAAATTTTCTTCATATATTGCATAGTTTTGATACAGAAAATAAGTGATACCTGAAGATTCTTTATTGCACATTATTAACATGTAGGCATTCAGAAACAATTTTGTGTATATTATTAACATTGACAAAGATAAAACATAAAATCTGTATATTTAACATGATGCTAATTATTAAAAATATATGCATCTATTAGAATTTTAACATTAGATATCTCTAGGCAGTGAAATTATGAATGAATTTTGGTTTTTGGCTTCCACCCGTGTATTTCAATCATCAAACTTTCTTCAATGGAGAAATGTGTTTTTGTGCTTTGGAAATAAGAGAAAATATAAATCTGTAAGTGCAGTAAAAGAATCAAGTTTTTAAAGCAGGGGGGAGAAATTAGTCAAGATGTTATAGGCCACAGAAGACTTGGCCTTTTTTGTTATTATAGCACTCATTCTGAGTAGGTTAATGACTCCATGTATTAAGATTAGTCTTACATTTATTGACGTCCTAGCAACTTTCAGGCACTACTTTCACGTTCATTATACCATCTTGCTCTCTAAATACCTAGGGAGGGGGTCACACTCCCATCTTACAACTGAGGATACTGAATAATGGTAAGTTGTAGGTCTAAGTTCACAAAACTCCCAAGCCACAGGGAGTGAGTGAACTCTGAGCATTATTCTCCACACTGCAAGTTTAGTGCTTTTCTACTATTTCATTCTGAACCTAGTTGTTTGTTGGCTTTATATTATTCAGATCTGGAGTACATTTAGAGGTGCCCTTTTTCCTTATCTGAAACATTAAATAATATTACTACTGATATGGTTTGGCTCCCTGTCCCCACCCAAATCTCACATTGAATTGTAATAATCCCCAGGTGTCAAGGGCAGGAACAGGTGGAGATAATTGAATAATGGGAGCGGTTTCCCCTCATACTGTTTTCCTGATAGTAAGTTTGAGATCTGATCATTTTATAAAGGGAAACCCTTTTCACTTGTTCCTCATTCTCTCTTGCTGCCATCATGTAAGAAGTGCCTTTCACCTTTGACCATGATTGTGTGACCTCCCCAGTAACATGGAACTTGAGTTCATTAAACCTTTTTTTCTTTATAAATTACCCAGTCTCAGGTATGTCTTTATCAGCAACGTGAAAAAGAACTAACACAACTGCAATTGTCTTGCATGATCCCCCTTAATTAGTCCAAGAGTGTGAGGAACTAGAAGGTCCAAAGCATAGTATACCTTCTACACAGAGCAACAAGTGTTAGACAAGCATGTTCTATGTATCTGAGACCGTGTAAAGGCAAATATCTCATATGGAGTTAACCACCAAACATTCTGACACTTTTCCTCTGACAGTTCTCTTTTCTATACCTATTCTCCTTACCATAAATATGAACTGAGCCTCACATCATCTTACAAACATACCAATAACAGCAAATACGGTTAACATTGATTGTAACCTAACAGTTACAGTATGCCAGGTCCTCTGCCAAGCAATTTATATTAATTATCTCATCAATCCTAATAACACACCATAAGAAACTACTAAAATCTCACTGAGGCCTAGAAAAGTTAAGTAATTTGTTCAAAGTTACACACCTAGTCAATGATGGAGCTGGGCTTTGAACCCAGACAATCTAACTCATACTGGATGATTACAATAGGTTGTTTGTTTCCCCTGACCACAGGCTTTTTCCTTCTGATTTGTGCTTCAATTTTTGGAAAAATTATATTTCCCACGGTCATCAAACTTTCAGTGCTTTTAACCTTCAAACATATCAAATTGAAACCAACTTTAACTTTCAAAATTCAAACCACCCAAAACATGGCCCTTTCATAACTAAATAGCTTTATTACTTATAGAACAATAGTAACTATTAATACTGCTTTGAGCAGTTGGCACTTTGTTTTGCCATGCCCCAAGCTAACCATTTTACATGAATAATTCCATCTACTCCCTATTTTTCAGATGAGGACACTGAAGCTTAGCAGTGATGAATAAATTGTTCAAGGACGCAGCTAACTATGACCCACTTTGATTCTAAAATGTTTAGATTTCTGCAACACTGCGTCCTTCTGGCCAAAAAAGGAGTCTCTTATCAAATGTCTCAAGCATTCTGAGATTATCATCCATCTAACTATCCAGCCATTCATACAACAGTTATTGAACTCCTACCACATATCAGACCCTGTGCTAGATGTTGAAGATATGAAGATAACATAGAACAGTTGTTGCAGTTGACCTCATAGAACTTTCAGAATTCACATTTGAGGCCCATCAGGGATCTCCATCATTAACAAGCACTCAAAACCCATCACCAAGTGCCACACACAGAGTAATACTAGTGTATGCCCTTTATCAGTCATGCATCCCTCAAAAGCCTCCTTCCTAGACAGTCTATCTACTGTCAAAAATTTATCTTTCCTGTTTCCATTTCTACCTTTTCATTTTTTTCAACTTTTTTTCTTGTTTCTTTTACATACTATCTACTGTGCTTCAAATACTCTTCATCATCCCTCTGCCTAACTAATTCACTTTTAAAGCACTAGTTAGCCTTCTTAATGCTTTAAAATACCTAATTGTATTGTTTTTATAATAACTGAATTATGTGTTCGTCTCCTCCACCTAAACAGTACAATCCTTTAAGGCAAGGTTGTTAGTGTGTTTTTATATCCTTACGTCTTAGCATAGTTCCCGGAAAATTGAGTAAACAATAAATCCTTGTTGTGATAATAAATAAATGGTTTACTTTCCTCAAACTTTGGACTTTGATACCAAAATAAATTTAAAAGATATTATTGGAGGTTTTTAAAAATTTTTCTAAGTGAGATCACTATAATTTGCTTAACATATAACAGATATAATATTCTTTTTTTACTTTATAGCTGTTGTTTTGTCTGTATTGAAATATACTATATTCTGCCTAGCAATGACATTATTGTCTGTCATGCTTTCTAATATGTATATGTACATACATATATATGTCATTTTCCTCTTTGTGGTTGATGGCTGATCTGATTCTCTTATCTCACTGATTCAAACATGCTTAGTTCTTTCTACAGATTCCTTTTAATTCAGACATAATGAAGTATGAATAGTTTCCTTCTAACATATATGTCTCACTGCTTTAAGCTTCTGATAATACTCTGTGTTATACATTGCATTCCGTTTCTCCCCTTTTTCACACATATATATGGGTGTGTGTGTGTGTATATATATATAGTGATATAGTGATTACCAGGACATTTGCCAAATTCAGCAAATTATTCAGAAAATCTTTTCTGATCCTGGTAGTTTCCACAAGGAGATCTGCAGTATACCTCCCATCTAGGAACAGGCTAGCTCTAGTGCTGAAGCTCATTATCATGAAAGCATAATTTTGTGATATAAATATTTGTGTTGAATGTAAAGATGGTAGAATGAATGAGGGCATGTGCACCTGAGAGAAAATGAATGTGGCAGGAGAAATCATGAAAATATTTTCTCTTCCTTAGTGCTTTGGGCCTATTGCTCTGAATAATTCATGCATTTAAATTTATCATTTGTTCACTGGCTCTATCACATTGATCTTATTCA